TTATGAAAAAAGTTAAATTTTTCACTCGACTTCGTCATTATTTTCTTTCAAATTTTAATATAACTACTTTGAGTAAATGTGGGCAAAAAACTGTAAGACTTTTTATTCTAAATTTCGCGGAGAAACCCATTCGTCGAAATATTTTTTTTTTAGGTTATTATGTCAGTGACATCTGTGCCAAATACCACAACAAAATAATCATTAGTGTTTAGTATAAGCTTGCCTTTCTGAAGTACAAAAAATGCATTCGGCGATTTTTACTATGGGTGAAATTATTCAAAAAAGAAGTCACATTAAATTTTTTTGTGGAATAAAATTTCTCTTGTCGAAACTTTCAGAATATTGGAAAAGGTCTTCGATGGTAATTATTTTCGCAATAGTGTTTTTGATTGGTAAAAATAATTCAAAGAGGATCGAGAGCGCATTGACGACAAACCACGTCAAGGACGGCCATAAATATCAACTTATGATCAACACGTCCATAAAATAAAGGAATTGGCTCTTGAGAATCGACGACCAACAGTCAGAGATCTTACTGGCTTCATTGGAACATCGGAAGGATCAGCGAAAACCATTTTGAAAGATCATTTGGCCCTAGTGAAAACACTAGGTACCACTTTATTGGTACCAAAATCACTTCATTGTTGTGAAAAACAACGTCGCATTAACGTCTGCGAAACATTGCTTTCCGACTACCAGGATGTCACGAAATGAATTATTACTTGCAATGAGTCGTGGATCTAGGCTTACGACCCGGGCACACGATCAATCGGCCGAATATCGTGGCAAAGGTGAGCTGAAGCTGAAAAGCCAGATCAAAAATATAAGTTACATATGTTGATAGTTTTCTTCGATTATGGCATTGTAGTGCACTAAAAAATGTCGTAATATCTTTCTCTATCATTTCTGTTTGAAACCTATCAATTTTTTAATGAAATCCAAGAACTAAAAAATTCAGATAAAATGAGTAGTGACGTAAATATCCCTGTCTTAACTAAATCTCATATTTTTCTCAAATATAGTGCTTTGGTTGTACCTCAAATTGGGACATTTTTTAAAAGCCGCGAAATCTTATGAAATTATTTGGTCGTTCCCTTAGTAATTTCGTTTGATAACAATGAATCTTGATGATCTGATCTCTAAGAATTTTTTTCAACAGCCAACTTCACACCTAACATCTAGCTAGCTAGACAAATTGAGTGATGCCCTCAAACAGCAGAAGCCAAGAGGAACAGAACTGGTCAATAGAAAAGTGACAGTGTTCCACGAGAATAATGCGAGACGTCATACATGACTCGCCATAAGCTTTTGCGGCTTGAAAGGGATGTGATAGCACACACACCATATTTTAGACACTTGGCACTTTCGGACTATTACTTGTTTCGGTCTCAGCAAAAGTTTTTGGATGGGAGAACCTTCACATCAAATCAGGACGGTAAAACCACTAGGACCAGTTTTCTGTTTCAAGGATCAAAAACTAAATTATATAGTGAACAGATCAATCTGTGCATTTTTGACTAGTTTGATAATAAATTAGAAGAGCTAAAGATCACAAATAAAAAAATTTAATTTATTTTCTATATATTATATAATGACGATTTTCCATAACATTATTGGTGCTGAAGACTAAAATTACTAGCTTAAAGTTCGAGGGCTAGCAGCTTCTTATGAATTTTTATTTATTTTAGTTCCAATTTTTGTTTTTCTATTAGTATAAAGAAATAATTGAAGAAATTAGAGTTATCGAATAACGAATACCCATATAGACGAGTTTGTACCTAATATCTTTCATTGTATAACTTATATAAAGTAACCATAACCAACACAGATAAGATTTTTATTACTATTATTATTTTTTCGAAATCCTTTCGTGAATTAGCAAACACACAACGCTAATTATAAACCAATTACTTTATAGAATATGAATTTGAACGAACAAAACAAAAATGAACACGACATGCAAATGAACGAGAACGAACGAACGACGTCATGCAAATATATGTATGTATATACATAAGAAATAAATAAATTAAAAACTTTTTAATTGTTTTACACGATAAATATTTACTTTTGAACGCAAACACTCACACACGTTCACAACTGTGGCAACAGCAGTGCATAATAAGCAATTTTCCGGGGTGAATGGGCAGTTAGGTCGGGTGTATGAGAGCGCTTTAAGCTAAATTATATATAAAATATATAACAACGATGCTCAGTAGTACGCTGATGAGAAAGTGCAACGAGATATTACATGATTTAATGAGCAAAGGTTGAAAATGAGACTATACAAGTATCCTTATATGTTTTGGTTATAATGAGTGAACGAAAATCATAACCAGGTATGTTATATAGCTCTGTTAGAATAGTATTTAGGCAGACTTCTGTGAAAATCTATTTACTGCCTACTTCTCTGAAGTCATCTTCGAGGTCACTGACGCATGGATATTGCTCTAATTCCAAACATACCTTAGGCTATACACATAGTATAACAAAGGACTAACTCTGTTCAAAATGTTTTTTATTATCTAATCCACAATGGTACAGGGCATGGATATTCCTTGCTTCTGCGAAAGATTTTCATGAAAATGAAAATGCAATTACTCTTCCCGAAACATAGGAGTAAATGGTAATAACCTTCGATTTTGAACTTATGAACAATCTCTAAATTATATAATTTCTCTCGAGAAAATCCCACAATTGAAGACTCTATGAGATTCTTAATTAAGCGTTGTTTAATAACTTGTGATATATACTACCCAACACTTGCAAACAAGACCGAAAAATTTTTGGAAAAAACAAAAAAAAAAAAAAAAAGAATGAACCAAGGCTGAACAATTTTTTGCACAACAAAAGGGGTAATAATATAAGTGGTTAAAGAAATCATGGTGATGCCAATGGATAAGAGAGACTTTCACACAAACTTCAATATTGAGAATGAAAAGTAAGAAACAAAAACTGCAAACTTTTTGCATGAACAATTTTTCCAACTCTCTTAAATACGCATACAAAACACGTAACAGAACAAAGAAAGAATATTTTATCGAATATGTTTATTAATTTTATACATAGTTTAAACTCAGAACAGAGGAGTATAACCAAAGAGAATAGTAATCATTATGCATACAAACAGCAGTTTAATAAGGAATCAATAGCTCTCACTAACACTATGTTAACCTTTCAGTGATTTTTTGAATACTGCCACAATGGTTTCAACGATATTCAAAAGAAACAGTTGCCGGAAAGCTTTAAAAGTGACTTTAGGATTATAAAATGGATGTTATAGCTTAACTTCCTAAGGAGCGAAAAAAAGCTATCAACAAAGAATATTAATTGCACCTTGACGAGTACATATAGAGCTCTTCTTGGGACTCTTCTTAAGAAAATTAATCTCCTAAAGATGGAAGATTTCTGAAAGCTTTTAGAATTATATGGAAATATTTATAAATACGATATTGGCTTTCACAGTTTAGGGTCGGTCAGTGAAATAACTCAAAAACAACTTTGTTCATAAAATACTTAAATAAGTAATGAAAATTAGTTCACTTCAGGCAATTGCAAATATGACGTCAGCATGTCAGATTATTCTCTCTCAACTAGCCTTCCATTCATTCTATTCCATTTAACACTTAATGTACTTAGAGAACAAAAACACTATTTGATATACATTTTTTAAAAGAAATTAAATTGTTTGAGTTATGCAGTAGTATATTCTTCATCTGTCAAAATAACAGGAGCTCAATTTTACCACTTTGTCATTCTAATTACTATCTAAATTTTATCACTTTCAATAACTAAAAACGCTGAGAAAGTTACAATACATGTACTGCAAAGACTTCCAGCAATAAAACCCTTTTGAATATCGTTTGTTTTTTAAGGAACATGTCAATTTACTAATACGAATAAAAAACGAACAGAGTTGCAAAGAAAACATTCATATTATCAATACTCATACCGGCGTATATGCGAAGTAGGTGAAACCACAAGTCAAAACTTTCGAAGTAAGTCAACATGGAGACTGTTGTTGTTTATAGATTTTTTTCCTTCGATATGAATTTGAATTAAGTATTCTGAAGTAAGTGGAAACCCTCGAATTTAGTCAACACCGAGACTGTAGTTGTTTAAAGATGAAATAATTGTGTATGAAACCAACGCTGAAAAGTCCTACGCGTTGCCTGATGAAGACGAAGCTTTATTTATTTATTTATTTTTTTTTTTGTTTTTTTTTGCCTTCGAGATGAATTTTGATTACTTTTCCACTATTTTTTACATTCTAAAGAAGATTTTTATTTTAAATAACCTTCCACTTAATTAAATACACTTTATATTTATTTCAACTAGTTTTATTCGATTATTGTGCGATTATGATATTAAATTACTATAATCTTTTAAATATTGTATGTATGTATGTATGAAGTAAAACTATGAGTACACGAGTAATTGTTGAGCAATGAAAACTGCAAAGTGCGGAGATACTGTAGCTTGGCACATGACAAACTCTCGCTTTACTCTTTTCGAGCGCTAATTAACTGCTTTAGTTGATAGTAAGCGTTCTCTCTCTCTCTCTCTCCCACTTAGCTTAGTCCATTTGTGCTCCAGCGTACAATAATCATTATTGAATTCGCTCAGTAATTCAGTGATGTATTGCTGCAAATTCCAAGTTTCAAACCAATTTAGTAGTGAGATTACTCAATTTAAGTTTGCCAATTTTTCTGTCCTTTACTTTTATACGACAATCAAAATGCTGGGCGCTATGCGAGCCTTTCTTTTTAAACTGATTATACCTTACTGTGCGGTTTGTTATTTTCTACTTTGCTACTTTTGATTATAACATTATTGTAGTTATTTTCCATCAGCTTCGATCGCATTGTGTCAGTGCAAATTGTCCAGTCTAATACGAGCTTAAATACTGCAGCACATTAGCTTTTTTCTTCTTTCCTTTAATGAACACTTATCTTTAGACATATTTATTCGCAAGTCGTAAATAAATTTTCAACTACTCATTTCCTTAGTCTATAGCGTATATAATTCACAATTAATTAATTTTTTTTAATGATTTTTTTCTTTTGATGAATTTATTAAATTATTTTGATTTTTTAGCTAGTTGACTTTGAGCTGAGGTGGTCAACTTCGATACGACACGCGTGAGAGCGCGATTCTCCGCACGCAAACGCTCATTCTCAGTCTTTAGCTTCTGCAATAGCTAAAATGACAAAACAAAAAACAACAAAAGTGATGGAGAAAAAAGAGAAGAACGAGAAGTATAAGAGCATGGTAATTAACAGATTTCGTTTTCGATGATTCGATGATTGATGAAAACATGAAAAACATATGTGGGTATGAATGCGGAAGTTGCGAACGTAAAGGACTGAGATATTTAACAATTGCGGGGTTAACTTGTAATCAGGTGAGGAGATGAAAAACATAAAACAAAATTCACACTAATGATGAGTATGGTTTGACTGATGATAAAATTGCAGAAATGGAAATCATAAGTTGTGAACTGCGTGCGCAGAGTTTTGTCATGAAGGTTAATGAGTTGCAACGACGCAAGTATGAATGAGAACAGCGAAATATATATAATATGTATTTATGTGCGAAGAACAATTATAAGTTCTAACGATGATTCTGTGTGTATATGCATGAATGCTGCAAAAACCCTGCATTATGTTTAGGCTGTGAACAGGCTATGAACAATTTAAATGTGTTTAATGGTTGTAGTGAACGTGATATGAGGGACAACGATGTGACACGTGAAAATCACAAAACGAAGTGTTGAATACATAACCGTTATTATACAAAAACGTATGTTCATATAATATGTACAAATATGTGTGTACGAATAGTGAACATGAACAAAAATGAAAAAATATACAATATATTTTTCTAAGTAATGAAATGAAAATATACTAAAGGAGAATTAGGTGAATGCGCATCAAAACATCATATTAATATCGCCAAAATTTAGCTCTTAATCAATTATTGAGCTAAAGTATGAGTTTCAGTCGATCTTTGACTTTCCCTTGGTACAGAAAATAGAACAAATTCATATTATAATTTGAGCGAGGCTTTTGAAATATTAGTAGTTAAGGATATAATTTTCCATTTATTTTTTGTGTGCCTAAAAAGTTGATATTATTTAATTAATATGTTATTATACCCTGAACAGATTATATTAAGTTTGCATTGGCTACGAAGTTTGCAACACTTAAATTTTCATAGGCATTTCATAGGCTGGTAAAATTAGAAAACTTTCTTTTAGATAATTTTCCTACGAGAAACCAAACTAAAAAAAGTTAAAAAAATTTATTAAAATGTTGTAATATTTTAAATAGTTAATTTAAAATACCACTGTGGAGAAGCTATCGAACTTCATTAACATAATAAGTTTTGTTGGCGAAATGTTTTAATTAAAACGATTGAAACATAGTGCAAGCTCAAAAGCTGGTCATATACTCATATAARTRATAATTTTGATTAATTAAAATCGCRCTTTACTGCCTTCAAATAAGCATCAAATAAAACAATCGAAGTGAAGTGAAAGCTCGAAAGCATTCATCAAGTTTATTTTTATCACATATACATACATATTAAGTGATTATAGTTGATCACTCAAARATCGATTTCTTTTTTAATAAAAATAGTATTATTCATCATTGCCATAATCTCAAGTATCGATATGGAAAGCCTAACTGTATAGTATTTTTTTTTTTTTATAATAAATATCGACTTTGAAGGAAGCCTAAGGGTCTAAGCTTTAATAATTACTTTTGTTACCGATAACTGACTACTCAAAAYCGAAAAAATATCAGTTTATTTTTTTATTAAGCTCGTATTGTTCGATCAATATTCTATATTTTAATATTTTTCATAATTGTAGAAAGGCAAAAGTTCTAAGGTTCTTTGGTAATTCTATTTGTTATTGATATTTAAATATTAAAAATTAATAAACATTTCTGAAAGTTATATAAAGGCGTAAAAATGTGAATCAGAGTTCTTCAAAAGATGACGGCTTAGCAGCAAATTATTTTTGATGTTTTGTTTTCTT